GCATGTCTGTAATTTCTTACATCTTTAGTTTCTTCCATTTCAAAACATGGTAATGATCTCAAATATAACCTTCCTCCCAGAATCTCAGGGATACTTTACCAATCTATTGTTTGCTTCGGTGAGATTATAATAACTGTGATATAGGTTGGGAGGCCAAGGTGGGTGGATAACCTGAGGTCAGCACTTCAAGACCAGCCTGGCCAATGTGACAAAACCCCTCTACTAAAAATACAAAAAAATTTGCTGGGCGTGGTGGGACGTGCCTGTAATCCCATCTTCTCAGGAGGCTGAGGCAGGAGAATTGCATGAACCCGGGAGTTAGAGGTTGCAGTGAGCCAAGATTGCATCACTGCGCTCCAACCTGGTCGACAGAGCAGGACTCTGTCTTAAAAATAAATAAAATAAAATATGATGTGATATGGGATGTTCAAAGGTGTTAATGTTGTAAGGAAAGGAAAAATAACATTTCAGATAAGGAGGAAAGGGTTGATGGAAAGCATAATCTATTGTAGTGCCTGATCTTTGAGCTGCTAGGAACCTCATCAGAATGCTGTTTGAGGAGTGTTTTCGTTATGTTTAAAGCTTTCAGAGAAAACAGGATTTTCTGATAAAAGCAGAAAAATAGAAAAAAGTAGAAATGTTTTTCTACTTTTAAGAAGGGAAGGCTTACTAGGAATTTTTTTTAAATGAATGAAAGAGTAGAAGGAGGAAGAATAGGCAGTATCCGTGTGTGATTGCTCTGTGCCAAACACCATAGATGTAGTTTTTAATGCACATTTTCTCTAATTCTCAAAACAATGCTTAGATTATAATATCTGTGTTTGCATATTATGAAATTAAGGCTCAGAAAAGTTAAGAAATTTGTCTAGCAGCATATAGCTGGGAAATAAAATTTTGTCCCCAGTAATCTCTAACTCTGTATAGCATACTGTGTATCAAGCTAATGAGAAAGAATAGTGACACCCACAGTTAGGGCTTCAGACATTTACATTTGTGCTGAATGTAGAAGAGGGTGCTTAACACTTGAAACGCATGCTCAGGTACAGTAGTTAAGTAATATGAGATTGTGTGGGGTATCATTGTGTGCCTCATCCCTGTTGATTGTATGCCCCAAGATTCTTTCATCTGCTGTAAAAGCATAGCACAGATTATGTATTGTGTCACAGCAGGCATTACGGGCATGGGTATGCCTTCTGGAAGCAAGAGTGGAATCGGAGGTGCTGTAGCCTTTAGAGGAGAAACCCACTTGCCTCGTTTAAATCAGTTGGCATATAATGGTGGAAAGTTGTTATATACGTTTATAATGATATGAGTTGAGCAAACTTGCTACGAAGTTTAAGTTCTTGGAACCAAGTGCTTTATTCCAAATAAGATGATAATTATATTGACAAGTGTTGAACAATATGTCATCGTAACAGTTTTTCTTTGTGTAATTGACTTCAATAATCTTGAGGGTGTTTTCTGCACCTGTTGTTAGAAAAGTTGGAGTGCCCTTATAAGGGTTGATGTGAGTGGTTCTTCTCTTCCCATTATCATCAACTGTAGTTAGCATATGGTCTACTTTATTTTAAGAACACCTCTTAATATGCCTTGATTTTGTTGAAAATCAGGCTAAAACCATCTTCCTTGCACTTCCTCATTACTTGGTTGTTAGCATAATATTAACTATTATTAGATCTCAGACATCTCTTTATCTTGATCTAAAGAACATTGTTAGGGCTAGGAGTCCTGCAGTTTTCATTTAACCCATTTGTGATCTCTTGTGAGGAGGATGGAGCTATTAGTTATATGCCTGAATCATTTGGGAGGTATATATACTAATTTTTGCTGCTGAACCTCAAAGAACAATCAGGTTGGAAATATGAAGTAAGACCTAGAAGGTTAAGCCTATGTCTGGGAGGCAGAATATATATGCATTAACCAGAGATTGCTTGCGTGTAGGGAGAATGCTGGAGAACCAGACTCCTGGAGCAGTTTATCCTATGAAATACCGTATGGAGACTGTTCTGTGAGGCATCATCGAGAGTTGGACATCTATACATTAACCTCTGAGTCTGAATCACATGAACACCCATTTCCTGGAGACAGTTGCACTGGACACATTTTTAGACTTATGAACATCCAACAGCAACTAATGGTAAGTCAGAAAGCTTTTATTTTTAAGTGTGTGCATGTGCATGTGTATGTTTTGTATGTGTGTCCCCACCCTCCTCCAATGAACCTTGATATAATTAGAACATAAAAATACTTTCCTGGCCGGGCACAGTGGCGCATGTCTGTAATCCCAGCACTTTGGAAGGCCGACACAGGTGGATCACTTGAGCTCAGAAGTTTGAGACTAGCCTGGGCAACATGGAGAAACTCTGGCTCTACAGAAATTAGCTGGGCATGGTAGTGTATGCCTATAGTCCCAGCTACTCGGGGGTCTGAGGCAGGCAGATCGAGTGAGCCTAGGAGGCAGAGGTTGCAGTGAGATGAGATGACACCACTGCACTCCTGCCTGGGTGACAGAGCAAGACCTTGTCTCAAAAACAGAAAAAGAAAGACTTTCCCCAAAGATTGTGAGAGCTGTAAAGCAGTGTTAGCAGTATTAAATGTTACCACTTACAGATCAGAGCTAGCATTAAGGTTGTAGCAGTAAGGGGACTGAGAGGTTTTTTTCATTGGTTTTGGGAATAATGAAAGACACATATTTCAGGTACAGAAATATGCAACAACTAGAATTAAATTATCCCAGCATGAAAGGATGTTTGTCTGTGGTTGGCTTAACTTTACAAAATGAAAGAAGCAAAACAGTTTCTGAGATTGTTGCCAAAGAACAAGAACCAAATTTAATCAGGAGTATTTTTATAACTATTTTATTGAGTGATGATATGTACCATTTGAATATAGTATTACTATATTTAAATCAATAGTTGCATGATACAAAGATCACTAAAAAAAAGAAAAGATTTTATAATCCACTCAAGTCTTCAAGATAAAGTTGTTGCCAGACATAAAAACATTACAGACTACCTGTTAGCATTTATTACGAATAATATAAACGTCATACGTGTACATCTCTCTTGGCCATAACATCTGAAAGGCTATGTTTGGGTAATTTTTCCACCCAGTTTATTTCAGAGCTGATTTGATTTGGAAACCACTTGACAATAATTTCATTTAAGGTCAGCTCAATGCCAGAGGCTTCTTTGGGAGCATGCATTATTTGAGACCAGCAAGCCAAGAAATTCCATAAGGTTATGTGATGCTCCCACTTTTGTGTTTTAGAATTGTGTTTGTTCCAGAGCAGGTGACATTTCATTTTCCTCTGAGTGAACTTCTAGGCAATCAGATTTTTCCTTAGAGCTCTTTTTACTAGGTGAATGGTAGTCCACTTGAAAATACAGTTTTGCAGGTACCAAAGCTACCTGCCAAGATATGGGAATAATTGGCAGGCAAATACGAGAAATTAAAACTGTGGGAACATACATGTGTTACTTTCTTCAGGCAACACTACTGTTTCTCCAGATTTCTGTTTTATAATGTTTACTGTTTATTAAATTTAATGACTTCATTTCCTGATTTTTAGGAGACTGTCGTACTCTCACCAGGATTGGAAATAAGCCAATTTTGAATACTCTTAAGGAACCTAACACAGAAGCTTTTAGTGAAAGTCCATTTTGCTTGTACACTCTAATAGAAAGACTTTAACAAGCATGACACATTTTATACTTGTATGTATAAACTTTTACAGTAGGCTCAGTAAGATAGGAATGGTCTGATGATGGAATCCTGTAAGTGCCCAATATATTCACTGAATGAGTAAATGAATGAGAGGATGGATGGCAGTAGATATGCATATTATTGCAGTAGATCAAGTAATGAGTGGCAAGCAAACCAGATGTTTGGAAAAATAGATTTTAAGGGTTGAGAAAATAGTATTTTTGTAAGAATTTTTGAAATGAAGGTAAATTCACTAAAGATCACCCGTATTTGTTTTTCTCCATTTTTCCTAAACCTTGCTGCATGCACATGAGATTTTTGCATGTTTATAAACTTAGATTAATAATTTTTTTCTAATTGCAATATGGTCCTCATAGTTAATAATGGGTGGTATTTCTTCCATCAGTTTTATGAACCATGATTTTCTTAATCATTCCCATGCTGTTGGTTGTATCTGTTTATATTTTTAAAATACTTTAAAGTTGCAAAATCCATTTTTGAGATTACATATAGTATCCATAACACACTCTGACAGTATATAGGTGTGTGTTCTCATTTATTTTATATTTAGTATGTTCTGGTTTTATCAAAAGGTAAAAGAATACCTGCCATGCCACTGTTCCTGAAATTATGAACCCATAACTCAATGGTTAAGTTAGATTGGTTGGAACATATTTTGGGGATTAAAGGACTCTGAACTCCTCAGTAAATATTTAGGGCACAGGAGCATTGGCTGCACCTTGTAATGGAAAAGAGCTGGAATTTGTTTTTACTTGTATATATGAGGCAGGGCGGAAATAGGCTCTGCCCCGCTGAAGACAATAAAAAATATAGGTGGGACACAGTGACTCACGCCCTATAATCCCAGCACTTTGGAGGCCAAGGTAGGAGGATCCTGTAGGCTCAGGAGTTGGAGAACAGCCTGGGCAACATAGTGAGACACCATCTCTACAAAAAATAAAACAATTAGCCAGGTGCAGTGGTACACACAAAAAATAAAACAATTAGCCAGGTGCAATGGTACACACCTGTAGTCCTAGCTACTCAAGAGGCTGAGGCACAGGGTCACTTGAGCCCAGGAGTTCGAGGCTACAGTAAGCTATGATCACACCACTGCACTCCAGCCTGGCCTCAGAATGGGAGATCCCATCTTAATGTTAGCGACTCATTTGAAGATATTCACTGAGCTTTTTAAAAATAAGGTTTTTGAGACTCAATTTTAATCTACTTCCTAAAATAAGTTCAAAATTTAGAAAATAGATATTTCATATATCCTAATCCATTTTGAACATCTCAGTGTATAGGCAGATATGAGAGGAGAGTAATATCAGAAATAAGAGGAAAGTTATTTGTATTCTTTTAGATTAGCTTATCATGTGACCTTAGAAGGGCCAGAATGGAAGTGAGTTCTGTCCAACAGGATTTTTGCTCAGAGGTGTCAGTGACATCTTCTCCTACGAGGAGTTTTTTAAAAGTGTATTTCATTTCCTCCTAGAAAACAAACCTCAAGCAGATGGACAATCTTATGCCCTTAATGGTGACGGCACAGGATCCTTCCAGTGCCCCAGAGACAGATGGCCAGTTTCTTCCCTGTGCACCAGAGCCCACGGACCCTCAGCGACTTTCTTCTTCTGAAGAGATCGAGAGCACTCACTGCTGCCCAGGGATCCCTGTTGCACAGACTGAAAGTCCCTGTGATTTGTCAAGCATAGTTGAGGAGGAGAATACAGACCATTCCTGTAGAAAGAAAAATAAAGGCGTGGAAAGAAAAGGGGAAGAGGTGGAGCCAGCACCTATTGTGGACTCTGGAACTGTATCTGATCAAGACAGCTGCCTTCAGAGGTTGCCTGATTGTGGAGTAAAGGGCATGGAAGGCGTTTCGTCCTGTGGAAACAGAAGTGAAGAAACTGGAACAAAATCTTCTAGAATGCCCACAGACCAGGACTCCCTGAGCAGTGGAGATGCTGTGCTGCAGAGAGACTTGGTCATGGAGCCAGGCACAGCCCAGTATTCCTCTGGAGGTGAACTGGGAGACATTTCAACAACAAATGTCAGTACCCCAGAGACTGCAGGGGAAATGGAACATGGGCTCATGAATCCAGATGCCACTGTTCAAAAGAATGTGCTTGAAGTGGGGGAAAGTACAAAGGAAAGATTTGAGAACTCTAATATTGGCACAGCTGGAGCCTCTGACGTGCACGTCATAAGTAAGCCTGTGGATAAAGTCAGTGTTCCAAACTGTGCCCCTGCCGCCAGTTCCCTGGATGGTGACAAACCTGCTGAGTCTTCACTTGTATTTAGTAATGAAGAAACCTCCATTGAAAAAACAGCAGAAACAGAAACTTCACAAAGTCGTGAGGAGAGTGCTGATGCTCCAGTAGATCAGAATTCTGTGGTGATTCCAGCTGCTACAGAAGACAAGATTTCAGATGGATTAGAACCTTATACTCTCTTAGCAGCAGTCATAGGTGAGGCAATGTCACCCTCAGATTTAGCCCTTCTTGGGCTAGAAGAAGATGTAATGCCACACCAGAACTCAGAAACAAATTCATCTCATGCTCAAAGCCAAAAGGGCAAATCCTCACCCATTTGTTCTACAACTGGAGACGATAAACTTTGTGCAGACTCTGCATGTCAACAGAACACAGTGACTTCTAGTGGCGACTTGGTTGCAAAACGGTGTGATAACATAGTTAGCCAGCCTGAAAGCACCACAGCAAGGCAACCCAGCTCACAAGATCCACCCAATGCCACCCACTGTGAAGACCCACAGGCTAATACAGTCACCTCTGACCCTGTAAGGGATACCCGGGAACGTGTGGATTTTTGTCCTTTCAAAGTGGTGGATAACAAAAGCCAACGAAAAGATGTGAAACTAGATAAATCTTTAACAAATATGCTTGAGGTGGTTTCACATCCACATCCAGTTGTCCCTAAAATGGAGAAAGAACTGGTGCCAGACCAGGCGGTAATATCAGACAGTACTTTCTCTCTGGCAAACAATCCAGGCAGTGAATCAGTAACCAAGGATGACGCACTTTCTTTTGTCCCCTCCCAGAAAGAAAAGGGAACAGCAACTCCTGAACTACATATGACTACAGATTGTAGAGATGGCCCAGACGGAGATTCGAATGAGCCTGATACACAGCCACTAGAAGATAGGGCAGCAGACCTGTCCACGTCCTCCACTGCTGCAGAGCTTCAGCGTGGGATGGGGAATACCAGTCTCACAGGACTTGGTGGAGAGCGTGAGGGTCCCGCCCCTCCAGCAATCCCAGAAGCTCTGAATATCAAGGGGGACACTGCCTCTTCCCTGCAAAGTGTGGGTGAGGCCACTTTGGCTTTAGATTCAGTTTTGACAGAAGAGGGAAAACTTCTGGTGGTTTCAGAAAGCTCTGCAACTCAGAAACAAGATAAGGATATAGCAGTGACCTGCTCCTCCATTAAGGAAAATGCTCTTTCTTCAGGAATGTTGCAGGAAGAGCAGAGAACACCACCTCCCAGACAAGAGACTCTACAATTTCATGAAAAATCGGTCTCATTTGATGGTGCCAAGGACAAAGCACTTCAGCTAAGTAATTCACCGGGTGCACCCTCTGCCTGCCTTAAGGCAGAAACTGAACATAACAAGGAAGTGGCCCCACAAGTCTCACTGCTGATTCAAGGTGGGGCTGCCCAGAGCCTGGTGCCACCAGGAGCAAGTCTGGCCACAGACTTAAGGCAGGAAGCCTTGGGTGCAGAGCACAACAGCTCCACTTTGTTGCCATGTCTGTTGCCAGATGGGTCTGATGGGTCTGAGGCTCTTAATTGCAGTCAACCTTCTCCTCTGGATGTTGGAGTAAAGAACACCCAATCCCAGGGGAAAACTAGTGCCTGTGAGGTGAATGGAAATGTGACGGTGGATGTTACGCAGGTTAATGCTCTACAAGGGATGGCTGTTCCCAGAAGAAAGAATGTATCACACAACACCCAAGACATCCTGATTCCAGACGTCTTGTTGAACCAGGAGAAGAATGTCATCCTGGGTTTGCCAGTAGCTTTGCGGGACAAAGCTGTGACTGACCCACAGGGAGTTGGAACCCCAGAGATGGTACCTCTTGATTGGGAGAAAGGGAAGCTGGAGGGAGCAGACCACAGCTATACCAGGGGCGATGCTGAGGAAGCCCAGATAGACACTGAAGCACATCCTGTCCTACTGCAGCCTGCTGCCAAAGAGCTCCCCACAGACATGGGGCTCTCATCCCATGATGATGAGGCCCCAGCTGGCGCGAGGGAAGTCCTGCAAGCCTTGCCCTCAGGCGGGGAAAGGAGCACTCCCTCTCTACCTTGCATGGTCTCTGCCCAGGCCACACCTCTGCCTAAGGGAGCAGACTTGATAGAGGAGGCTGCCAGCCGTATAGTGGATGCTGTCATCGAACAAGTCAAGGCCGCTGGAGCACTGCTTACTGAGGGGGAGGCCTGTCAAATGTCACTGTCCAGGCCTAAGTTGGGTCCTCTCAGTGAAGGGCTAGAGAATGCTTTTACAGAAAAAGTGAGTACTTTCCCACCTGGGGAGAGCCTGCCAATGGGCAGTACTCCTGAGGAAGCCACAGGGAGCCTTGCAGGATGTTTTGCTGAAAGGGAGGAGCCAGAGAAGATTATTTTACCTGTCCAAGGGCCTGAGCCAGCAACAGGTAAGCAAAACATAATACAAAATTAGCAGTCTGAGCAGCAGATTCCCTTAAGAGTCACTGTGGTGTCCTGGTAAAAATATAGGCATCTTTGTTGTTTTGAGGTCTTGCACTCATTGGGTGGGTAGTGAAGTTAATAGTCACCACCATCAGGAGAGGCACGTCATCTCAGGGTTGCACAGATTTTGTTTCCTGTGTTGTAGACTTAACTGCTTGGTTGCTTAAGCTTATAAACACTCTTATCTGTCATTCTGGAGGGGTTACAACTTTGCAAACCTGGAAAACAATGCCTAGATCACAGGTATTCCAAAATGATGAAGGAATTTAGCAGATGTTTTTATTCACATGGCTTAATCCTTTTCTCTGGTACCATAGAAAACAGTGCCAAAAAGCTGTGTTCTATTTACAAGCCTGAAACTCCCTTCCTCCCCTGTCATCCTAGTCTGTATTCTGAGCAAATTTAGAGTCAGAGTGGTTTCATGAACAGCTATAAGTATTGTTCTAACCTGACATCTCAACACCCAGAATGGTGGTATTAGGTCATTGGTTTTTTTGTGTGCTTTTATTTTATTATTATTTTTTTTGAGCTAGGAGTGTTGTTGACAGGGAACTCCTTCCTTTTCCTGCTTGGGGAACGGACCTCTAGTTCCATTGCCTGTTGCTTTTGGGCAGCAGTCTGGGAATTCAAGACCCTGCACAGTGCAGGGGATAGGATGCAGGATTTCCGCCCAAGCCCAGTCTGCTGAGCTGCTGTCACAGGGCAGACCTTGTGTCTGCTTTATCTTGGTGAAGCAGCTGCACTGAGCAGATTGCTCACACAGCAGCCTGTTCCATCTGTGGGTAATCATGTTCCGAGACAGCAAAGAGAAACCGCTATTGCTCGGTGGAAATAAACTATCTGAATAAAACTTCTTATCCGGGGTTGAGGCTGAAGCTGAAACGGGAGTCGGACACAATCTTGACTCTTGAAGTCTTTAAAGGTCAGTTTGATGCACACTTTTATACCACCACCTGTTACCAGCTGTAGACGGAATACCCATCTCCATGCTTGCCCCTAGGCTTTTGTAGGTAAGAAGTAGCCTGTTTTGTCTTTATTGTTTATTTTTGCTGTTCTTTTCAATTTTTGAAAATCCCTTTACATATATGTATTAAGAGTGTGGGGGAGGGTTATGGAGAGAAATGAATCAATGGAGCAAAAGAAGTTGCTTTGGAAGAAGCACAATTTAAATACAGTGGTCATTTTCCCTAGTAAAGGGCTTTTAGCCATTTATAATCTTTTCCCTCCCCAGTTGAGGGATTTAAGGAATCCCAGGTAGAATTTTTGATGACTTTAGCTTTTTAGTTTTATTAATGTTTTGGATTGTTAGTGATAAATATTTGTTGACTGTTGTCTCAGAGTTTAAATGAGAAGGTCTCTACTTTTTTAAAAGAAAGCCACAACAACAAGTCTATTTTGGGGGCCCTGGCAGGTTGGCATTTCAGAAGAATGGGAGTGGCTGTAAGCTGATGCCTGGCGATGTTCTTTTCATTTGGGTGCTGCGTCCTTGGCCACATGAGCTAGAATTATTTCTCTTTCTGGCTCAGTGGTCAGAATTTAACTCAAGCAAGTGTGAACTCTGTGGGGATTGTGTCTGTAGTATCCTATGAGAAAAAGTAAAAACCAGGGAGAATTTCAGACTTTGATTTTTATTAGCACTTATAGTACAGTTGGTAAGAAATGATGGATGTTTAGGATGTTGAGGTTTTGAGAAGGAAGAAAAAATGTATGACCTTTCAGCAGTATATATGGGCTTGGGGTTGGTAAATTTTGTGTAGGTGAGTTACTTGTCCTGTTACCAAAAGGAGTCATACTCATGGTCTCAAACTACAGAGGAACTCAGTACTCATGGTCTCAGACTACAGAGAAAGTAGCCAGTCATGAAGAAATTGGTGCTTTCTTCAGAAAATGGCCAGGATTGGGAAAATCCCTGGTCACATTGCTTTAGAGAAAAAGCACCTGAGTGTGATCTCAGAGCCAAAGGGTATTTTCTAGCAAGTTTACATTCTACTCATAGATTTAATCATACTGTTTTATGAGTGAGAAGACATAGGTTTAACTGCTGATTTGGAAGGGGCCAGTTTGAAAGAAGGGGATGTGGCCCTTGACCCACCAGAAGCATTGCCCACAGTGCTTAGGAAATCAGTGGTGCATGACTGAGCCACGCCAGTCCTGCAGAGGCTGCTGACACCCCTCAAGTGTCAGTAATCACTGTTTACTAGTGTGACTGGTTGCTGTGCCAAGATGCATCTTTTCAAAGTTGATAGATATAGGAAAGGAAGGAGGTACCAAAAATCACATCCCCAGAGGAAAGCAACCCTCTTTCCCCCCAGAAATTACTCTGACTCACTTAGAGATGTTTTGATCAAGGGATAGTTCTGAGGGGATTGCTTAGATTTTAACTTTAGTAACATTTTATGAAATTTAACACAGATTTTGGTTCTTTGGGCAAGGAAACTGGTTTACCTATTTTTAAACTGCTGGTAAGATTATATAATTATTGGCTGGGCACCGTGGCTCACTCCTGTAATCCCAGCACTTTGGGAGGCCGAGACGGGTGGATCACAAGGTCAGGAGATCGAGACCATCCTGGCTAACACGGTGAAACCCCGTCTCTACTAAAAATACAAAAATTAGCCGGGTGAGGTGACGGGCGCCTGTAGTCCCAGCTACTCGGGAGGCTGAGGCAGGAGAATGGCGTGAACCCGGGAGGCGGAACTTGCAGTGAGCTGAGATGGCACAACTGCACTCCAGCCTGGGCGACAGAGCGAGACTCCGTCTCAAAAAAAGAAAGATTATATAATTATAAGGGCAAAGAAAGAAGAAAAGAGATTCATCTATAGAAATGTAACTCTTACAAATTTAAGGTAGACTTTCATATATATCATGTGCTCCTAGAATAAAAATATAATTTATTCTTTGGTGAAAGAAACTTCTATGATCTTTAGTGTGGGGAGCATTTTTCTAGCCAGAGTAGAGGCATCACTAGGTTAATAACCACAGATACATTTCCACATGAAATCGAGATGACAGTTCCATTTGCATTTGGATTATTAAGGTGAATTTTAACTGTTCAGTCATCAGTCCCCTTTAAAGAAGTGTCAGAAGCCTAAATTTGCCTCAGACGTCATTTATCACTTCCTTCCTGTATTTGCTTGACCATGTGGTGGTCAAGTAACAAAAACCACCACTGTTTTTGGTCTGTTGAGCATGGCCAGCAAGAGGACAACTACGTAATTCTCGAGAAAACATGCACAGAAGTGTTTCTCTTAAGAAAGGGATAGCTTAGTCTGTGATTAGGTTTCAGTTTTGGAAGAAATAAGGATTAAAAACAAGAAGTAACTGCTGAGTAGTTCGTTCTTACTGGTTACAGTGATGGGTGGGTCAGAGTGTGTTGTATGGTAGTGAAAGTCAGACTTGTCCCAGAGGCTTTGTCTCATTCTCAGTGGCTTTTTCCTTTTTGTTTTGTACAAATCCTTCTTGCTTTTTTGATGATGGCTGAGATGGACTACCTAGCTTCAGCTATTAATCTGTTCCCCCTGAAGCTTATGAATTTAGTTTTCCATATGCAAGTTGGTGCTACACTCAGATTTGTCATAAAAAGTTAATAGTGAAATGGATGTTCAAAAGACATTGAATTGTATCCTCACTTAGTTCTAAGCCCCTACAAAGACTAGGGAAAACCAATAACCGTGTGATAAAGGAATAGCTCAGCATAGGGTCAGAATGACACTAGCCGCTGACAGCAAAAGAATACTTTTCCGCTATAACACAAAAGCAAAAACAAAACACATGAAACCTGGAGCATGTTGTATAAATAGTAAGGCACAGAAATCAGTTTTTAAAAATGTACTCTGTAATCTCCCTGCTCTTTCAGAAATGCCGGACGTGAAAGCTGAAGATGAAGTGGATTTTAGAGCAAGTTCAGTTTCTGAAGAAGTGGCTGTAGGGAGCATAGCTGCTACACTGAAGATGAAGCAAGGCCCAATGACCCAGGTGGTAAGTGGCATCAGTAAGTCTATATGAGCACAAAATGTGTTTATCCTGTTCTGCTATGTCTTATTTATGGCTTTGTCTTTTATTTGAGGGTAAGTGGGCAAAATAGTGTTTTCCCCCTTCTCTCTTGTGCTGTTATATAAATGTGTATATGTTGCTGCAGTTAAGCTTTCATAAATGGTATATACCAGACAGCGAAGTTTTGGAATGGGCTTGTTACATGTTTTCTTGCAGATTATGCTGAAAAACATTTTCCCCATGAGCACGAGGCTTTAAAATTTGTCAGTAAGCTTAAATTGTCACAAAATCGGAGTTACCACAAAAGGGGATCTATAAACCTTTTCTTTATTTCTTTCCTTTTCTCCCTCTTTTTTTTTGAGATGGAGTTTTGCTCTTGTCACCCAGGCTGGAGTGCAGTGGCACAATTTCAGCTCACTGCAACCTCTGCCTCCTGGGTGAAAGCGATTCTCCTGCCTTCACCTCGTGAGTAGCTGAAATTACAGGCATGTGCTACCATGATTGACTAATTTTTGTACTGTTTGTGGAGATGGGGTTTTGCCATATTGGCCAGGCCATTTTTGAACTGGCCTCAAGTGATTCACCCGCCTCAGCCTGCCAAAGTGCTGGGATTACAGGTGTGAGTCACGGCGCCCGGCCTATAAACCCTTCTTAAACCTGACTCTTCTTTCTTTATATAAAAACTGATAGCCAAAATGAGATTTTTACTTTATAGCTCAATAGTAACTGTCCAACTTATGAAGTATATCATTTTCAGCAATGAAAAAAAAATGTTCAATAGGCCAGACACAGTGGCTCACACATGTAATCCCAGCACTTTGGGAGGCCGAGGCGGGTGGATTACCTGAGGTTGGGAGTTCAAGACCAGCCTGACCAACATAGTGACACCCCATTTCTACTAAAATTGCAAAAAAATTAGCTGGGCGTGGTTACAGGCGCCTGTAATCCCAGCTACTTGGAAGGCTGAGGCATGAGAATCATTTGAACCTGGGAGGCAGAGGTTGCAGTGAGCCAAGATCATGCCATAGCATTCTAGCCTGGGCAACAGAGCAAGACTCCGTCTCAAAAAAAACAAGAAAAAAAGGTTCAATCAATATGGGTTTTTTTTTTTTCAGAATAGCTTTTTTCGGGATATGAGTCACATACCATAAAATCCACCCAATCAAATGAAGTGCATAGGTCACTGGTTTTAAATAGATTTACAGAGTTCTGCAACCATCGCCACTGAGGCTCTAATTTCAGAACATTGTCACTCCAAAAAGAAACCCCAGACCCATTAGCAGTGTACCTCTCCTTCACTCTTCCCTCCCCCAGCTCATTCATCTACATTTGCTCTCTATGAATCCATAGAGAGATTTGCTGTGAGAGTGTGAAAGTGGCTATAGATAGTACGTAAATTGCCCATTCCAGAACTTCATATAAACGGTATAACACAGTATGTGATCTTTTGTGACTGGCTTCTTTCACTTAGCATAATATTTTCAAGTTTCATCCATGTTGTGGCATTGATCAGTATTTCATTTCTTTTTATTGTCAAACACTGTTCCGTTGTATAGATATAGCACATTATTTTATGTGTGTATTTGGATTGTTTCCACTTTCTGGCTACCGTTAATAACACTGTTATGTACATTTGTGTACAAAATTATGTGGACATATGTTTTTATACACCTCGTGGAGTTGCTGGGTCATGTGGTAATTTCCATTCATTTGGTTTTAAAAATATTTTTCCTCAAGGTCTTGAGATTATTTTTCTTTGTTTAAAGCTATTAACTTTATTTTATTTTATTATTTATTTATTTATTTTTTGAGCTGAAGTCTCCCTCTGTCACCCAGGCTGGAGTACAGTGGCAGGATCTTGGCTCATTGCAACCTCCACCACCTGGGTTGAAGCAATTCTCCTGTCTTAGCCTCCCGAGTAGCTGGGATTACAGGGACTCGTCACCATGCCCGGCTAATTTTTTGTATTTTTCATAGAGATAGGGTTTTGCCATGTTGGCCAGGCTGGTCTCAAACTTGTTATTTCAAGTGATCCACCTGCCTTGGCCTCCCAAAGTGCTGGAAGTACAGGCGTGAGCCACTGCACCTGGCCGACTGTTAACTTTTAAAACAAACTTGTTGAGAGAAACAGTGCCGTATACTTGTGCCCTTGTTGTATTGGAGTACTGTGGTATGAAGGTGCTGACTGTTCTAACCCGCCCTTATTACACATAACATTCATGACTAATGCCTGGGTGGCTACTTGTAAAGCAGGCATTATTCAGACAAATGTTGCTTTTAACCCTGTGAGAAGAAAAGAGAACACACCCTGCATGGGTAGATGTGTCTTTGTTTCCAGAAGCCCCTTAGAAAAGGAAGGAAAAAACTCACATCCTTGAATTCAAATACCTCTGTTTCTTAGTACTCCATTTTAATATTGTGGTGATTCAAGTCATTGAATCCAGACTGGTACTTGGCTCTAGACCCTTTGCTTTCTGATGAGGGTTATCTCTATTCTAATGGTATCTTGTCTACTATAATGAAGAAAACAAAACATGACTTAAAGAAAAGTCCCTTTCCTCCTCTCCTTTTTCTCTAGTTTTAAGAGTTGAGAGAGTGAATATTCCTCTGGTTGGTCAGCATACCTCATTTTACAGATAAAAGAATAGACCCTTGGAGAGTCACATGACTAGCTAGAGGGCAAAGGCCACTGGAAGAGTTTGAGGTTTGATTTCTAATCTAGGACTTATACAACAGGGCAATTCCTCCTTGACTTAAGAAACCTGGGATCTGATTGGTAAGGATGCTATAAGAAGCCTGAGAACCATGTAATTTGTCTCCAGCTGGGAGATATCAATACCTTATGCTTTGTGTTTGCTTCCACCGTGTAGAGTTGGGGAAAGCATATGTCAGTGGGATTTTCAGTTCTTGAGGATTTGCAGGCCTAAATTTGGAAGTTTTTGTGTTCACAGCATTCTTATAATGATGTGAAATCTGACTACTTAACTCTTCTCTATGGTGCTCTGACAAACTTCCCTTATTTGCTGTGAATTGAAGGGATAAAACAGACACACACTTTAATTTTTCCCACTTAACTCTTCACATTACTATATTCATCATACAGGTTTTCACTGGATAGGAAAAGAGAGCAGAGGTCTGCAAACATTTTGTAAAGGACAGACTTTTGTAAATGCTTTGTGGGACATATGGTCTCTGTCACAACTAGTAAGCTTTGCTGTGAGTGTGAAAGCGGCCATAGATAGTATGTAAACACAGGAGTGTCACTGTGCTTCAATACAACTTTATTATGGACACTGAAATTTGAATATCATGTGATGGTCATGTGTCATGAAATATTGTTTTGAATTATGTTTCCAGGAATTAAAAAAATGTAAAAATCTCAGCCAGGCACAGCAGCTCATGCCTGTAATTCTACCACTTTAGGAGGCTGAGGCGGACGGATCACTTGAGGTCAGGAGTTCGAGACCAGCCTGGCTGACATGGTGAAACCCTGTGTCTACTAAAAAAAAAAAAAAAAAAAAACAAAAATTAGCCAGAAATTGCTTGACCTGGGAGGTTGCAGTGAACTGGTTGCAGTGAGCCCAGATCGCACCACTGTACTCCAACCTGGGCAACAGAGTAACAATGTCTTGAAAAAACAAAAAAGTCTTAAGTTTTTTTCAAGGGCTGTAAAAAAGAGTTAACTGGCAATAGCATGTGAGCTCCTGCCTAATAAATACTTGTGCACTGGTAGAAGAAAAGAAAAAAGAAGCAAGCAAATTTCTTTTCTTAAATTGTTTTGTGGTGAAACTTCTGGTTTTTAAACTACAGGTTGGGAGTGGGATCAAGTTCTGTCTTTCCTGAATAGTTTTTTGACAGCCTCTCTAGAGCTCAGTTTCCTTGTCTCTAATCATTCTCTATCTTTAACCTTCTAGAGTCTGTTTTCATGCTGAAAAGGGTTAGAGTCTGTGATTATATTTGAGGGAGGAGTGGCATTTGTGTAATATTTAACCTGATCTTTCTGCCACATACCCTGTCTATGTGCGTGCCTTGGGAATAGGCCAGTCATTGCTTCATTGAATCATCCTCTCCAAATTTAAAATAGAACAAATTCCTATATCTTATGCTTTGCTACCGGCTTGAAAACCAGTACTATGGTAAATTTATGGCTGTTTTCTAGTAAATTTAAAGAATCCATTTAAATTCTTATAGAAGTCTTGTTTTGTAACCTTCTCTAAACGTGTAATGATCAGAGCATAAGAACCTCTGTCGAGTGGCACTACCAAGGATTTAAAGAAAAAAGCTGCAGTTGAGTTCTTGTTTTCTTTAGTCCATTAGTCTGATATCTGTCATACAAACTGAGGGGTAATTTTTCATTCCTTAACCTGTTTGACACATGTATTGTAAATAAACCCTTACTTTAAAGGTCCAGTGCTGAAAATCATAGTTTGTGAAGGAATTAGTATCCACATTCGTTTGCTTATATTCTCAGAGAAAACACATGTATGTGTTAAATGCTGCAGATTTCTTGATAGTCTTTACTGATATTTCTTTATTGGGTTGAAAATGTTCACAGTTTTTGAGGCAAAGTTATTACTTTACACATAATGTGGTTTATTCCCATTAATCATTTTATCATTTTATTATAATTGTGGTTTGTTACTGAGTATTGCCAAAGTTATAATGCCCATTGCAATTTAATATTCAACATTACCTCCCCCTATATGCTTTACTGGTTTCAAGGTATTCAGATTACCTTTTGTTGTCGTCTTTTTTTGCCTTAGTGAGTTAATATATATCAAGTACTTAGATCAGAGCCTAGCACAAAACAAATTCAGCTTAGCATTATTATTACTTTAGTAACTTCAGATTACAATATGCTATTCACTTATTTTAGTAACTAGTAGAATATGGTGGTTCAGACTCAGTTACTGCTTCTTGAACACATGTTATAAAAGCTTCAGGAATAGTTTCATACCTTAATTTGGAATTGAAAGACATGGAAC